GAAAAGTTAAAAAAAACAAAAAACAAAAAAAAAAAAACATGAACCCCTGGAAGACTGTGAACATTTGCTATTACAATCATGAATCCATCCTGATCCTTTTTCTAAGAACCATTTTTCGGCTTTCCTCTTCATTTCTCTCTTACCTCTGTGTCTTGGGGTTGGAGTATAAATACTTGCAATTTCTTCGGGATCGTTAACCTCTAGACGCTCATCGTATGTCTGGTTTTCAATAATCTTGGTCTAAGCAAAAGGACATAACATTACATAGCTCATATCATAAAACATTAAGCACTCTGTGGAGAGGTGCGATTCCAAACCAGCATTGGTCCTCTTCCTCACCCAAGACACCAGTGTTACACAAAAACTTCTCCCCATTCAAATTTCCCTTTAAGGCTTCTTGGCTCGAGGTCAAGCAGTCGAGTCATTCTGCTGCAGCTCTCATTTAGGAATTGCTGACAGGCAGGCTGGCTGAGGAGGGAAGGGAATCGTGGAGGTAAACAACAGCCAACTTCTGAACCAACTCCCCAAAGCTGTTAAGGTACACGCGCGCCGGCAGAACAGTATTCGTCTGTAGATGGCGTCTCTCTCCTTAGGTTCCATCGGTTTTCCCAAGGCTGTCGGAGTTTCTCAGGGGAGACGTAAAGGTTCTAGAAAGAGTTCTATCTCTGGGGTTACCACGTTTATGGAAGAGAGGGTAAACTCTTCTCAGTCAAATCCAATAATCCCGAAAGTATCACCCCTATCTCCACCTCCACCCCTGTCTTGCAGGTCGGATCCCCCTTAAGTCTCTTGGGGAGTAAAAAAAGAAAAGAAAAGGAAGTGGAAGCGTGAAGGAAGGGGAGAAGAAACAGTTGTCAGAGAGGTAAGAAGAGATTGGAGGGATGGAAAGGAGGGAAGGGGAGTCCTCTTAAATTCCTCTTGGGAGGCAGAAAGGAAGTTCTCTTTCCGCTAGGGTGAGTACGAATTACCCGTAGCCCCTCTGAATCCGTCTCTTCTGTATGGAATAAACCCCAGCCTAGGGCTGGGGTCTCACTCCAATCTCAGTTAGAGATTCTACTTGGAGTAACCGACCTGTTTTCAGTTGCTAGGTAAAAATAAATAAGATTTTTAAATCGCGAGACTTCCTTTCACTCTCGTGAGACTTTCTCCACTCATTCGCGCGTTACGTCTCTTCCAGGGGATGATCCAAGGAGGAGCAAGAGCGGCTCGCGGGGAAAAGCCTGTCTAGGCGATCAGGACGCCACTTTGTCTATGGTTTCAGCAAATGTCTTGGACATAATAACTTAACCTCTCTAAGTCTCAGTATTCCCACCACTAAATGAGTTCAGTAGTATTTCTCACTCAGGACTGTTGTAAGGATCAAATGAAAAAACCTTAGCTGGAAGTAACTGACCCAGCTCCTGGCAAATTATAGTCCCATATATATGTCTGAATCAGTGCCCGTAAGATAAGAGCAATAAAAATATTCTGAACAATTAACCAGAAGTATTCCAAAAGCATAACCAGGGGTAAGATATTAACTGGCATGATTTCTAAATCAAATAAATGCCAATTAAACGGAGGCAAAGCCGGCTGATGAATTTTGATTCGTATAGTTAGCCATTCTTTCTGGAAATTCTGTGTGTATTTTGCCCTGTTGAACAAGTACCATTATCATGCAGTTCCTCCTAAACCAGTCTAATCAATATAATTAGGCAATATCTCTAATGAATAGTCCTACAACACTTTGTATGTCTTTTTTAGCATTTATATTGCATTATAATCCCTCCCCTCCCCGATGTCCCATTTCAGGGGACATAAGTATACTAAGAATTATTCGTTATTTATGTGAGATTCCAATGTAACCTGCTGTCTTATTTTTACCTGAAAAAAAAAAAACTTAGCTTCTTTAGGCCAAGATCTTTGTCTAATTAATTTTTAAGATCTTCATAGCGTCAGTGCGTTGCCTAAATTAAGTGCTTTAAAAATGCTCATTTGGGTAGATGAATGAGCAAATGAAAGGAACAAATATTTCAAAACTATAGACATAGTTAATTTGGGGAGTCAGAGAGAAAGAAACAAATAAAAGAATTTTGGAAATTTGACCTTGAACACCTGCCAGAGGAAAGCGGGAAAGTGGCTTCAAAAAGGAAAATGAGAGATACCTCTTCTGAGACTCTTGGTTAAAAATGGAATTCCACAACATTAAAAAAGAAACTTTAGCCATCTGTTATTGCTAATAACAATGGATATGTATTGTTGATAGCTGGCAAGATTAAAAACATGCTGAGTCAAAAACCTGGGTGTCTAGACATAATACATACACACACACACACACACACACACACACAGATCTCCAAAATATTGAGAGTCAGTCAGATACTTGTTCATAGCAGCATATTCACAACAGCCAAAGGTAGAAATTCTGAAGTATCTATCAACAGACGAATGGATAAATAAAATGTGGTTATATATACAGTGGAATATTATTCAGCCATGAAAAGGAAGAATGAACCTTGAAAACATTATACTAAGTAAAATAGGCCAGATACAAAACAGCAAATATTGTATGATTCCACTTATACAATACCTAGAATAGGTAAATTCACAGAGACAAAGTAGAATAGACTAGACTAGACTAGACTAGACCTTATGCAGGAGCACTTAGGTTATATAGTTTACTGTATTATCTACCACCACAACCTTAGGAGATAGGTGTTACTGGCAATTTACGGATAAGATAATTGAGGCTTAGGAGAATTACAGTAACTTGCCTGAAGTCACTCAGCTTGTAAGTGCTGAATATTGGAGTCAAACGTAGGTCAGTCTAAATCCCAAGTCTCTGCTTTTAACCATTATGACATACTGCCTCTAAGGCAGTCATCAAAAAGCATGCTTGATAATAGACTAGAATAGAATGAAATAGAATAGAATATGGGCTGGGGGTTTGAAGGGAATGAGGAGTTATTTAATGGGTGCAATTTCTGTTCAGGAGGATGAAAAAGTTCTGGAAATAGTAGAGATAGTTACACAATAGGGGTACTTTTTTAATGCAATTTAATCAGCTAATGCCATGTTTCCAAAGAATCAGCATCAGCTAGTCTTTGAGAACTTTGGTGGTCCACACTGAAGGCCCCTGGAAGCTGCCACAATAAAGCAGTAATTCCAGGCATGATTTTTATATTTTTTCAATTAGGAATTTGTTCATCTTTTTAAAAATACATGTAGTTTTTATAACAAAAAAAAAAAACAATATGACTTTATTTAATGCACTGAATTGTACACTTAAAAAGTAAATTGTTTGTTAAATATATCTACCACAACAAACCAATCTGGACATTATCCTTGATTCCTAACTCAATAGCCATATCCAACTCATTAGCAAGTCTTAGTGATTCTTCTCTCTAGCCTCAACTTCCTCACCATATCCAAGCCACTATTACCTCAGCTCAGCCACTGCAAGTCCTTGCAACTGGTTTCCTACTTTCACCTTTGGATCTTTCAATTCACTCCACATATAACAGCAGCACAGCCTTTAAAGCTCTGCTTGTTATGACATGCAAAGTTTTAAAATATGGAAGCTTTGTAATGATTCTACTAAAAAGCCACTGGAAATAAATTTGAAGTGAGTAGGAGTGAGAATTCTATAGAGCAGTGCTTATGGGTGCAGGTTCTGAAGTTGAGCAGCCTTTGTTCTAATCCTAGCTTTGCTACTTTCTAGCCTTGAGACCTGAGGTAGAAAGTTTTCCTCTTTGTACTTTGGTTTCCCCACCAGTAAAGTAAAGATGATAATGGTTCCTATCTCAGAGAATTCTTGTGAGGAACATTAAAGAATACACAAGAAATATAGGCAGGCAGGTGTATCATAATGAGAAAAGCTGGGTTCGAATCCTGGCTCTATCCCTTACTGGCTGTGTGAATCTGGGCAAGTACTTAACTTCTTTGATCCTCAACGTTCCTATCTGGATTGTAGTAAGGGATTAAAGATAACGTGTAAAGTGCCTGACATAAAATAATCACTCACTAAAAGTTTGCTGTTTATCCATTATTGCAGCAGTGGAAGAATACTTATAGTTAAGCCCATGAATGAGATAAAATGATATAGGGAAGAACTGCTGATTCATGTATGCCCTAAGTCTGACATTTGGCATGGAAGAAATACCTATAGAATTACAAGACTGGATTTGATTCTTGTTTCCATTATATACTGGCCTAGAACTTTGGGTAAATTTTTTAAACTTGTCATAATTTTCTTCACCTACAAAATAAACACAAACACAGCAACTGCCCCAATTCCTGTACACATTTTTAAAAAGACATAATTCGCAAGCCATAAAAATTCACCTGTTCAAAGCGAACAATTCAGCAGTTTTTAAGTTTGTTCATAGAGTTGTGTAGCCACCACGTCTATATGATTCCAGAATATTTTCATCACTCTGAAAAACAAACATCACTTCCCATTCTTCTCCTCTCCCACCTCCTTACAGCCCTATAATCTATCTGTATGGATTTGCATATTTTAGGCATTTTGTATGAATGGAATCATGTAAGATGTGGTCTTTTGTGACTAGCCTCTTTCACTTAACATAATATTTTCAAGGTTCATCCATGATAATGTATCAGGACTTTATCCTTTTTCTTTTTTATAACTGAGTAATACTCCATTGTATAGATGCACCACATTTTGTTATCCATTCAGACATTCAGATTGTTTCTACTTTTTGGCTATTAAAATAATGCTTTTATGAACATTAGTGTACACTTTTTTGTGTGAACATGTTTTTAATTTTCCTGAGTATATACCAGTGAGTGGAATTGTTGGATCATAGGCAACTTTAACTTATTGAGGAATTACCAAACTATTTTCCCAAGTTATTTTCCTAAGTAGCTGCACTATTTTACATTCCTACCAGCAGTGTATGAGGGTTCTAATTTCCCCAGAAATTCTCCAGCTCTGGTTACCTGTCTTATTGATAACAGAAGTGGTATCTAGTGATTTTGATTTACATTTCTCTAAGGACTAAGGATGTTGAGCATCTTATATATGCTTATTAGTCATTTGTATATTCTCTGGAGAAACGTCTATTTTGCTCATTTTAAAATTGGATTGTCTATTATTGAGTCGTAAGACTTCTTTATATATTCTGGATATTAGTTCCTTATGCACACAGGATTATTTCGTATATTAAATGATATAGTGGCTGTGGGAGCTTTATAAACTGCAAGAGGTGTCATAAATTAAAGGAGGGCGCTGACAAAATGTGAAGGGACAGAGCACGGAATTCCGCAGCTAGAGGGAAGCCGCATGCCTGCTGATCCAAGCCTCCTTCCAATCCTTGCATGCACAATTTCACCACTCCACGGGGCCCCGCCCTCCGCCCTTTGACCCGCGTAGTTTCCGGTTGGAGACGTGGCTCAGGGCCGCCATCTTGGCCAGAGGCAAAGCGGCAGCGGCTCCTGTCAGGGGGGCAGCAGGTCCAGAGCTCCTGGTACTTCCCTTTCCCTGACCCCACCCTAGCCCCAGTGGAGCCGAGCGCGGGTGCGCCCCACTACTGCCCTCGCCATGGTAAGATCCGAGCCGAACTCCCGGGTTCGGCTTCGCTGGTCCGTTCTCCCGGCCGGTGGGCCTGGTGTTGGGGCCAGAGAAATACCTCCCCGAGGGCCTGGAGCCCGGCGCTTCCCTCGGGGCTGGGAGAACATCCTGTGCCCGACCTCTCGGGAGATCCAAGGGGCCTGACTCCAGTTCCTCTGTCGTCGCGCCCACACCCTTTCCCCTTATCCGCCAACGGGCACCCTCCTCTGCTGAGACCCAGGCCCCGGAACGGGTCGTGTTTTTGCTCTGAGAGAACCTCGTAGTGGTGTCACTTGGACCCCACGCTGATGTCCTCGACGCAGAAGTCCAGCTTGTTTATGGGCGCCTAGGCTCAGCAGGCTGGACTTCTCTCCTAGGGTTCTTACCTCTCTGTTATCAGCTTGCTTCCCATCCCCAGTTCGGTAGGCCATTAATGTTCGATATCCAAATCCATTGGCGTTCAGGACTTCTTTTGTTTGTTTTAAAGGAAGTATAGAACAGGAAGGAGTAACTTCTAACACTAATTTGTAGGCCCTAGTGTCCCTGAACTTACTTGTGTCTCTTTGAGTATACGCAGTGTATAGAGCATTGAGAAAATGAGTTGTAAAGAACACAGGCTTTCTGTCTTCGAGAAACTTACGGTTCCGGTGAAGTAAAATATGTATGTGGCGTATGATAATAAGAAGGGATTATCCTCTGGGACCTGTTAACTTGC